TTAGTATATTAGAATTGTCCCAATGGTATTTTGTTAGTGTCGTTTCTTTCATCAGTGCTGGTTTTCTTTTGATCTCGGCGTACAGGATGAATCTGCCTCGCTTCTCTCTGCGACTTGTCAGCTCCTCCTCCCTCGCTTGCTTCCTGGTTATCAATTGTGAACCGTGTGCTAGTGTGCCTTTTCGCAAGTAAAGCAGACTTTGAGAATGGATATATCCGTTTTAAATATTGAGTTAATCGCTGCCATTCTCATCCGCAAGTTTCCACCATCATGCACATTTTACGCTTCTCACAGTTCTGTTTAAAGTCACAGTCTTTCACGCTTTGAGTTAGTAACTGCGCCATCACCGGAAGTTCATCCTTTCTTCCTTGCTAGTTTCTTCACCCAGCGCCGACATCTTACTTTTTTGTTTATCTTATGCTTTTACATCAGAGCTTGACTTTTTCCACTTTTATGCTTATTCTGCCATCCGTTTTTCGGTCTCCCCCCCCATGTTTCCCGCTAAGAATTGTTGAGATCGAAGGTGCTTCCACAGTGGCTCTAGATCCTGAACAAGTTGTCCATCATACTTGGAATTCAGCAGATGCCATTATCTATTCTAACTCTATGCCTTGATGCCATTTTGCAGTTTCCAGAATCCAGACTGCGATTTTGGTGTGTATCAACCGAGGCATAGCATCCGAATCGCAAGCCGTCATAGTCCCTTTAAAAAGGCACCCCCCCCTCAGGAAATGCAGAAGAAGGATGGTGACTTAGAAGATGCAGATACCAAAATAATGTATCAAGTAAATTTTTATTCTACCCTTCCTCCAAAAATCTAAGGGCAGCTGAAATGATTCTTCCGTTTTAAACAAAATCTTCATAACAATGCTACTGGGAGGGAAGAGGACATGGCATAGTTTGATCTTGTCAGATCACAGAAGCTAATCAGGGTTGGTACTTGGAGGGTAAACCAGCAAGCAAGACTCTGCAGAAGAAGGCGATGGCAAACCACCTCTGCTTCTCTCTTTTTTTTTTTGCACAATATATTTATTTGATTTTATAAGGCTATATCATACACATATACAAGATCATCAACAAGATTGCCTACATACAAAGTCCTATAATAACATTTATCTTTTTCAACAACACAGAATAACAAATCCACCACACCTACAATTATTTTTGTTCTTAATCTCAGCCTTATTATCTAATCTGTGTTAAATATAAACAGCATAAATCATTCATACTGGCTTTTAAATCCCCCCCCCCCTAAATTCATCTTGCACAATTCCATCTCTCATTCCTTCTCCTGTAATCTGCCAGTTTGGTGTAGTGGTTAAGTGTGCAGACTCTAATCTGGGAGAACCGGGTTTGATTCCCCACTCCTCCACTTGCACCTGGCTGAATGACCTTGGGCAAGCCATAACTCTGGCACAGCTGTTCTTGAAAAAGAGCAGTTTCTGTCAAGAGTTATCTCAGCCCTACCTACCTCACAGGCAATGTTCCCTCTAAGCTGTGGAGTCTTGTGAGCAAAAATACTACTTTGTGAGCTGCTGGTATTAAAGTTGTGAGCCAGCAATTGGGCTGCTGCATAAATGAGTTTGCTCCGGAGCCCTCCTTCCTGAGCTAAGACAAAAATGTGTGAGCTGGAGGCTAAAAAACTGTGAGCTGGCTCACACGAACTCAGCTTAGAGGGAACACTGCTCACAGGGTGTCTGTTGTGGGGAGGGGAAGGGAAAGGAGTTTGTAAGCCGCTCTGAGACACCTTTGGGTAGTGAAGGGCGGGGTATAAATCCAATCTCCTCCTCCTCCTCCTCAAATTCTTGCTTGCAATATAGGGACATATTTTAATATTAGATTTTTAGTTTATTTTATTTTATTACTCTTTTTACCCTTCCCATAATTTTTATAGCTCTTATACTCTGTTAACAACCCTTTGGAACCTTTTATCTAGTTTCACCCTCAAAATTACTCTACTATCTTGTAGAATGTCAATTTCCCATTTATCTGCCATCAATACCTTTCATTTATATACTATCTGACCTTCCCCCATCTTTATTCAGGCCTAAAGTTGTACTTGATCTACCATACTCTTTTCTACACTATTATCCCAGATTCAATATTCCAATCAGTTTGACTATAATTAATTTTCCAATTCCAGACCCTAACCAAATCTGGCTTCTTAAAGGATACCAGTGGGGGTCCCCCGGTTGCCAGCTGAGAGGCAAAAGAGAGAGATGCAAGGCCGGCTGTAACGGGGGTTTGGCTGCCACTTTGAAGGGAAGCCTGGGTGCAGCCCTGCCATCCTCACTGTGGCCTCCCGGTGACCGGACTCAGCGGCTCTGACAAACTGGGTTAAAGGGGTTTGGTTCAGGGAGAGGGGACAGAGAGAAAAACCACACTGCAGTTTAATTATACTGGGGCTGGGGGCCCTGTCCTGCCTCTCTTAACAATTAATAGTGCCGTTATCTGTGGACCCTGATAGAAGATGGTGACACAAATAACCCTGTGCAACCCAACCCTCTTCAAGAACCCCGGTTGAAGTGTGAGGGTAGTCAGGTTTCGTTTTTTTCATTTTCAGGCAGCAAATGCCAGAGTTCCTTATTCCCCCTAGTGGGAATTGCTCTGGTCTTTATTAACATTTCATGTTGTTGACTGTTAGGCAGAGGAGAGGGAGTGAGGAAACCTTTCCTTTTGCTATAGTTTCATGTTGCCTGTATGCCTCAAATGGTAAAGAGAATGCATGCACCTACTTTTGAAAGCATTATTAATTTTTCATCTGGTTTCTCCCCCCCCCATATGCAGTCTTCTCTCATCCGCAAGTACCCCGTCTGCTAAACAATCTGGCATTTCACAGCAGGGGGTCAGAACTTGAACGCTAACCCCCCCATAATCCTGGGATTAATTACACAATTATGCAGCAATCTGGTCACAAACGATTAGAAGTGGAGTAGGATGACTTGAGCTAATTTAATGCCACTGGGAGACACAATGGAAAAAAGGAGGCCAAGAGTTGTGACTGCACTTAAGGATGGCTGGAAATGCCTCTCGGGTATGACTGTTTCATGCGATGCCCATGAGCAGACCAGCTTGCCATCTCTGTTCGGAGCATATCTGTGCTATTGCAGTGGCTGATAGCCCCCCAGAAATATCCAATGTCAGTACTGAAAAACTCCACTCCACCCACCACCACAGAGTGTTTTGCATAAGTAGTTGTAGTGTTAGCAAACTTGTGGCATGTGCCTGATCTCCAGTGGGGCAGACGGCACATTTCCAGCTACCAGGTTGCCAACCTCCAGGTGGGGCCTAGCGATCCCCTGGAATTACAACTCATCCCCAAATGACAGGTCTGTTCCGCTGGAAAAAACTGCTGCTTCGGAGGGTGGGCTCCATGGCATTATGCCTTGCTGCTGAGGTCCCTTACCCCCAGGTTCCACCCCCACATCCCCAGAATTTCCCAATCTGGAGCTGGCAACCCTAGGCAGCTACACCTGTAGTAAAGTCGGAGGAACTATCTGACCGTTCATTTAATGTGGGGTAATGTATACTGAAAACAATTTAATTGGTATTCTGTGGGAGGGCTTTTGGCAGTTTCCTGAAGGAGGAGAGGTGTCTTACCCATAACGCCACAGAATTGCCAGGACTTCTTGGATGAAGTAGGCAGGACTAAATCCTGTTTGTATGTCCTGGCTGTAGCCAAGACCCCATGGAAACAGGTGGCTCATGAAGCTTGCAGGTTATTCCAGTAATGTACACTAGGAGGAAAGCCACTAAGGTTAATGGGGCTTCCAAGTAAATATGCATAGTGTCAGGCTGTACGAGGAATTGCTCTAGAAGTATCTTGTAAAAAAAAGTTTTTATTTATTTATTGGTTAGATTTTTATCCCACCCTTCCCCGAGTGCAGGGCACCTTTGAGACCAACAAAATGGTGTTCATTATTTTATTATTTATTCATTATTTTATTTATTTGTTGGTCTCAAAGGTGCCACTGGACTCGAACTCTGTTCTGCTACATCAGACCAATACGGCTACCCACGTTAATCTGTCTTTTTTAAAAATGAAATTATTATTACTTGGGGTGTGTCTTTCCACCCAGAGGAGCATTGCTTTGTGTTGCGATATATACCCTTTCAAAAACCCTACCTGGTGGGGAGGTGGTATAAAAAAGGGTGCGGGACGGGTCCCCGGCACTGTGGTTCAACCGGCAGTTAAGCCAGAGTTCTCTTCTGGGCGCCTGTTGTTTCCTTTATTTTGGCGGCGCTGCGTTTACATGTCAGCCCTCGGCTCGCCGGAGGTCAAGGCTGCTCTCTTCCCATGCAGGCAGACTGTGACGTTTGCAGGGCGTGCGCGGCCGCTGGCTTGGCTTTCTCCGTCTCTCGCCCGCTTCTCCCCGGGACTTCTCCGTGCACCTGAACCGCCCTTCACCGTTACGCGTCGCCCCTTTAAAAGCATTGCGCCTTAGCCCTGCTGCAGTCCTTTGAGCCACCCTTGGCGCGCCTCCCATTGGCCGCCCGAATTCGCATCCCTCCGCCTCCCCGCGTCCTGTAACCAATCGTCGCCACCGCTTTTTGTAATCATAATTCGGAACGTACCACCGCTGCTTCAGATATAGGGGGTGGGACAGGGAAAAAACCCACGCTTTGCGCTCCGCTTCCCATTGGCCAGTTCCCCCACTCCCTTAACGTTCCGAGCCGGGGAAACGGCGCGTGTCTCTTTAAGCAGGCAAAGGACGAGCTGGCCGCGGCTCCCTCCCTCGTGTCCAGCAGCAGCAGCGGCGGCAACAACTGCTGCCGAGGTGTGTGCGAGCAACTCGCCCGGCGGGGCTGCAGCGGCTGCGTCTCCGCCTCCCTCCTTCCCCGGGCAAAGAGAGCCTGGAGCGGCCGGCGTGCCGCGATGCGGAGCTTGCAGCGCGGAGGACCTTGAGCGCGCCTTGGCCGGGGACCCGGAGCGGAGCGAGGCAGCCTCGCAGTCGCCGCCTGTCCTGGGCTCGCCCCCCGCCTCCCCCGATGGCTTAACGCCCGCCGAGGCGATTTCCCCCGGGACCGAGCGCCGGAGTCATGAGCAAGTACGGGAAGCTGCAGTGCGCCAATGGAGGGGAGGGCGGCTGGAGGAAGAGCATGGCCCCTGGGCGACTCCCGGCACTGGGGGCATCGGGAGGCTGGGCGCGGAGACCCTCGCCTCCGGGGAAAGCTCCGGGGGACTCCACCAGGGTGGCCTTGTCCTGCTTTGCCGGCGAAGGTGATCTTTTGGGGGGGCGCTCTCCGCCGGAGAAGCTGGCTGCGGGGAAGGGCGCCGCTCTTCTCCTGCGCGGGAAGAAGAGCTTTCGAGGGCTCCCTCGTTTTGTGTGTGCGGCTTGGTTTTCTTGGGTCGATACATTCTTTTTCCCCCTCCTGGGAGCCAGAGAGCTCCTTTTCTCTCCTTACCGGACAATAGCAGGCGCAGCGCCCTCCGCGGGTGCCGCGCGGAACACCGCTCGCCCCGGCGGTCGGGGGGTTTGGTGTGTGCCGCTCCATGAAAGGAGGCTTTGGAGACGTCCTGTTCAGCCACCAGGCACGGTCTGCCCCTAGGGTTGCCAGCCTCCAGGTGGGGCCTGGGGATCTCCCGCTTTTACCACTGATCCCCAGCCGACAGAGATCAGCTCCCCTGGAGAAAATGGATGCTTTGAAGGGTGGACTCTATGGCATTGTATTATGTTGAGGCCCCTCTCCTCCCCAAACCACGCCCTCTCCTGGCTCCACCCCCCAAAGTCTCCAGGTATTTTCCAACCCAGACTTGGCAACCCTATCTGCCCCTGGAAAGCGGGAGCGAAGGAGCCACACGCCGCGCCCCCCCCCCCCTTTCGGAGCTCCTGGCTGATGGCGTTGCTTGGAGTGCCTTAGAATCGCCCCCACCCCCTCCCGTTTCATCCTTAAAAGCGCCTAGTGGGGAAAGAAAAGGGCGGGAGGAAGTCCACCTTTTTGAATAGGCGTGACTGTATGAATAGGGTAGTTGACTGCTTCGGCGTCACCAGTCCGCCTGAAGCGAGCCGCCCTCCACCCCCCGGCATGGGTTTCTGTCCTGAGTGCCTGGTAATTATTATGGGGGGCAGACTCTTAGCCCTGCTGGCACGGAGTTAGGCGGCAGCGTCCCGAGTCTGAGGGTTTTGTGGGGTAAACGAGAGTGCAGAGAGATGTCCTTCCTTCGTGGCACTCTCCTTTGCCCACTGTTGTTCCGTTGTGTTGCTTCCCCCTACCCCCACGTCCATACACTGGCATTTAGCGCACGCCCCCTCCCAGGCTTTGATGATGTGTTTACTTAGGCACGGCTTAATTTTCAAAAGGAGCAGGCTCAGACTTGCCAAGATGTCGCACTTCTGTGGAAGCCCGGATGTGTGTGTGGTGCTTGGGGTTAAGGGAGGCACTCTGCCCATGCTCAGAAACAGTTTCATCTCGGTTTCCACAACATATTGCGGAGATGAGACATAAGGTAGAGCAGCAGGTTTCCTGGGCCAAAAGCCCTTGTGGGACAGTGCTCCTTCGGTGGTTAAGGGCAGATGGTTGGGCTGCAGAAATCCTGTCCAAGGGTGCTCTCTTTGCAAATCCATGGATTTGGACAGGGAGAGGTGAGCATCAGGTCCCATTGTTGCGGGAGAAGTGCTGGATCTGCAACCAGCTCCAGAGTTCTGTTTGTCAGAGCAACTGAGCGGTGTCTCTGGGCCTCTACAAGCATCCTTGGAGGGATTTTATATGGTCCAAGGCAGAGCAGCCAGCAGAGAAGTCCTCGCAGTGAACACAAGCGGGGGAGAGAATATAATTTCACTTGAAACAAAAGATCTCTGTGAACCTTGTCCTGGCAACAGAGTTTGGTCTGAGGAGTAAGGGAGCCTCGTTTGGAGTGGGGAAAGAGCAGGGATAGCAGCTGGCTTGTCAATTCCAGCCCATCATCATTGCGGGGCCTTTTCACTCCAGCAGCTGGTGGTTGGTGGGGTGGTTCCGTTTTAAGCCGCCCTGAGGATTTGGAGATCGTGACGTTTTTGGAACTCTTCAGCAGTGAAGCTTATCCAAATCCTGCTTCGTGTTGGACACCGTTCCGTTTTTTCTCCCAATGGGCTTTTTGAAATGGTTTGCGTGGTGTGTTGTGCTGTTTGTTGCAGACAACCCTTTCGCGGCATGGGAATTTGGTAGGGTTGACACGTGTGTGCATGACAGGAACGTCTTTTTCCCCCTGCCATGCGATGTCTTTTCATCTTGAGCAGAAGGAGATGCAGCCACCAGCGATTGTCTGTTTTGTAATTTTTCACTGAGCTGTATCCAATGAGTGTACATTGCCCCCAGGAGCTAGGAAGTCTTTGGCAGTGCTCTTTTTATGGGAAGCTGCGTAGAAACACTTGTGTTGCTGCCAGGGTGCCAGATACCGACTTAAACCCCGCAGTGTGCTAGACGGTTTTTCAAGCATAGTCTTGTTTGAGAGTTGTTTAGGGGAATTACAGTCAAAATTCTGCTCAGAAGGGTTCCCCCCTCCCTCCCTTCCCAAAATCTGAACTTGGGACTTGGAGATCACCACTGTGGGGTGGTTCCAAGGGAGTGTATTCTGGCTCTTACTGTGGGGCTGGCACAGACCACATTAAAGGCCGCGTGGGGACACGAAGTCCAGCCATTCTTGGAAATGGCTTGTATGCAAAAAGTGCTTCAGTTACATGCGCGGAAAGGCAAGCGTGCAGAGATCATATATGGCGCGGTCTACCACATGCTTATGCTCTCAAACCTTGACATTAGTTTCTGGTTGCTTTTTTATCCTGACCTCCTTCCAAGGGAAAATACATTATCATTCTGTGAGAGGGGTTAAGCTGGGAGTGTGTAACTGGCCCGGGGTCACCCAGCAAGCTTCATGGCAAAGTGAGAATTTGAACCTGGGTCTCCCAGATCCTTGTCCAAGACCCTATGCTGGCTCTCATTAACATAAGTGGACAGTTTTCTTTTCCTCTGTGAATGCCTGAAGAAGCCTTTGGAGGGGAGATCTGTGCATGCTGCCCAGATCAGTTTGGAGGAAGGATGTGATAATAAGGTGATGGACGTTCCACAGTGCTTTTGGTGCTGGACAGGAAGAAAGGAGCGATCTACTCTATGGTGGGAAGAAGCATCTTGGGAAGGGGATAAAGGGCCTGCCCTTCAGAAGGAAGATGAAGAGCACTGGCTAGCCAAAGCTTGTGTTCCCCTGCAGAGCAAGAGTATTCCTTCTTCTGTGTATTCCAGTTTTTGAATACTACGACCAAGCAATTTTCATGCAATCTCACCCAGTTCTCCTCCTTACTACATCCCCTGTCCCACATGGTTTTTGTCCATGGAAGTCCCATGATACCCAATATGGCCTTTTTGGTGGTCAAAGGGGGGGGGGGGCACCCCCTTTTTTTGGAAAGCTGGTTGTATCCAGTCCCCAAACTGTAGCAAAGCTGATTCTCTCTTAGCGCTCTAAATGCAGCGTGTAGCGGTTCTGCTTCCTAACGAGACCCAAACAAATGTGCGGGATTCGTCAGTCTGTTTTGGCGAACTAAGGGCTCGGCTGTATTTCCCGAGTTCCTTTGCAGGGCATCATTCCTGATGACAAGGAGGCGAGGTTATGTCTGTTGTATTGTTGTTCTGCTCTTCCTGCCACGGAGCTGACGGTGGCGCTGTCCGTTTTGCACTCACAACAGCCCGGCGAGGTAGGTTAGACCGAGAGAAAGAGAGTGGCCCAAGGCCACCCAGTTGAGCTTTGTGGTTGCGCGGGGCCTTGGATTTAGGTCTGGCTGATCTCAGTGTGGTGCCCTAACTACTATGCTACACTGACTCTATGTAGGTTATGCGTCTGCATAGACCCTGCCCATTGAACCCTGGGAAAGTCTTCAGTGCATGAATGCTTTTAACTCTGCTCGTGTGCTTGACGCTTAGTGGAGGCTTGGACTGAGCTTTTCCTTACAATCTGCCAGTTTCCTCTCCCCATGACCTGTCTTGCTGCTGTTGCTGTGAAGCAGAAGAGTGGCTAAGGGAGTCTTGTTGTCTGTTACGTGTATCCTGCCCTCTTCCCAGCTGGGCTCAGTGTGTCATTGTAGCCTCACAATTACCTTGGGAGGTAGGTTAGGCTGAGAGACCCGTTATTTACCCAAACGAGGAAAGGAAACGGAGCCATCCAGCTACAGAATTTATCTGAACATCTTGCATGCTAATATTCGTAGCCTGAGACTCCAGGGTCTCAGGCCACATCACCTACTACCTCATTCTTTCAACTGGGGATGCCGGGGATTGAACCGGAGTCCTTCTGGGTCCTTCTGCTTTCCAAGGAGATGCTCTCTCACTGGGTGCGTTCAGACGGGGCGTTTATGCCGGCAGAAACGCGACCACACTTACCTCCCTCACAGCGGAAGCCATCACAATATGCCCGTCCACACTCGTCTTCGGTTGTTTTTTTTACTTAGTTTGCGCATGTGCATAGGCAGCCATCCATAGAATGGCGATCTTCGCGCATGCGCAAAACCCCCCTGTCGTACATTTAAACTTTAAAGGTAAGGACTTACCTTTAAAGTTTAAAGAGCACAGTAGCCTCCCAGAGGTCCCGGACGCCTCCGAAACGCTACAGTTTGGCCCTTTTCTTTTTTATATACAAACAGCAGGGCGAAGCTTCGCCCAAGCGCATATCGCCGTCCTTAAAAAAAAAATGGCGGGCGAAAATCGGAAGCCTGAGGCTTCCGAACGGAAGTAGCTGTGCAACGGTGGAGAGCGATCAGACGGCGAGGTACAGCGTTTACAACCGTTGCACTCAGGATACCACCACTTGGGGACCTAGTGGCAGAGTGCAACGGTATAAAGGGCTTTACACCGGTTAGAGACAGGAGGCAGATGTTCGCCATCTGAACGCCGGTGAGTACAACGATTGCAACCGGCACCTATACCGATGTAAAGCCCCCGTCTGAGCCATAGCCCCTCCCTGAGGACATCACCCGAGGACTGCTTTCTAGCCTGCTGGACGCTGCCTCTGTTTGAGCTCTGCCTAGGAAGAGGCTGCTGGGTGTTGTTAGTGCGGGAGGGGGGAATTATTTCCCTGCCCCATACC